CCCACGATTTATGCTGTGAGTTTGTTAGGGAAAACAACACAGTTTAGTGAAATAATTAGGCGTGTTTTTGTGTCAGTCCATTAGAACTTGAGAGCAGCATAAGAACTATTTCAAAATGGTTTCTACATGCAAAAGCTTATTTTAGAATGTGTTCCGATTAAATCTAGGCTTGATCAGGTCACATGATGTGCTTAATATGTACATTCTTGACAAAGAATATCTGATTTTGAGGGTGAACTGAAGATGAGAAAGTAAATGCCATATCTATCTCTGCCACTGTGCACTGAGAGTGATTTTGAAGCTATTTTGGGATATGCTTTTGGAGGCCCTTCTGTAGCTTTTTATAGTAGATACAGAGCTGCTACTACTTTGTGTAACTGGTGAGTAGTGGATTGGGACTCTTGGGCCCTGGCTTTCTTTTTTTTCTAGTCAACCAATTTATGGCTTTCTAAAGACATAAAGATCTGGGGTAAAATTAAAGGATGGAAGTGAGGAGAGGCCAGAATTCAAGGAATTTTACCATCCAGTTATTTTCTCATTCTTCTACTCCTGCTGTTCATCCCTAATATCTTAACTTTTTCCTAAAAAATGAAGACCAGCCTCTTTTGTTCTGGTCACAATGTTAAAGGACTTCCCAAGGTCAGAGGCTTCATTATTGCCTCTTGAGCTTTTTAATGCTCTAAAAATGTTTTAGTTTGAACCTAAAGAATATGTCAGTTTCTCACTTGCTCTTATATTACCATGATCAAAACAAAAAACTAGTCTTAAAATACCAGAGACATTACCTAAAATGGCCATGGGTTTAATTAACACATTTTGGGGAAGCATTTGATTTGTATTTACATCTTATGACTATTTCAGTATATTACTGTGCTGAAAGAGAAGTTGTTTGTTGTTGTTATTGTTGTTTTTAACATATGCCCTGTAGCTTGTGGAATGAAACAGTTTAAGATGTATTATTTTTCTTAGGTGAAGGCAGTGTAAATAAAATATTCTCATTTATTGTTTTTCATACCTAAAAGCTTATTTAAGTATGATTATTTTTCTGGTTAAAAATAAATATAAGTAGAAATTAGACTATTTTTCCCCATACTTGAGTGGCTCCTTTTGTTTTCCTTCCATAATGTGCACATCCTGCCTTGAAAATAACCCTGCTTTAATGATGTTAACGATGAAATTCTGATAGTTTATTTTCCTCTCTTTATAACATCAAAGAGATTCAGAATTCAGTAAATATTAATTGAATTACCTATTGTACCAGGCAGTGATCTAAATGCTGAGGATATAGCAGTCCATAAAACAGACTCAAATCCGTCCTCTCATGGAGCTTAAATTCTGAACAAAATAAGTAGAAATGAGATTTGTTAGTAGTGCTGTGGAGATAAATCTGGGGAGTGGGGATAGGGAGTGTACAGGATAGGGTGGAATGGGATTTGCAATTTCAGTTATGAGGGCTTCACTGAGAAAACATGAAGATCTTAGGAGCTGAGGGAACCAGCCATATGGATATTTTGGGGAAGAAGAGCAAGTGCAAAGCCCTTGAGGTGAGAGGATGCCTGGCAGGTTAAAGAACTACAAGGAAGCTAATTTTTGTCTGGAACAGAGAAGGTAGGAGATGGAGGGAGAATAGCTGAAGATGAGTCAGAGAGGTGGGTGGAGTGAGGGCATCATATAGAGCCTCTTTTGGGGGCCCATTACAAGGACTATGACTTTTTTTTTTTTTTTTTTTTTTGAGACGGACTTTCGGTCTTGTTGCCCACGCTAGAGTGCAATGACATGATCTGTGCTCACCGCAACCTCCGCCTCTCCAGTTCAAGCGATTATCCTGCCTCAGCCTCCCGAGTAGCTGGGATTATGGGCATGCGCCACCACGCCTAGCTAATTTTGTATTTTCGTATTTTTATTAGAGATGAGATTTCTCCATGTTGATCAGACTGGTCTCGAACTCCTGACCTGAGGCGATCCACCCGCCTCAGTCTCCCAAATTGCTGGGATTACAGGTGTGAGCCACTGCACCGGCTCAGGACTATGACTTAAAGGGTCTGTGGGTAACAGACCTGCGAGGGAGGTAGTGAGGTCAGAAGCAGGAAGAATAGGTTAGGAGGGTGTTGTAGTATGTCAGGTGAGAGCTGATGGTTGCTTGGATCAGAGGTGTAGCAGTGGAAGGGTGAGAAACAGTCCAATCATGAGTAGAATTTGAGGTATTAAAAAAAAAAAAAATTTTGCCAATCAGGCTAGATGTGTGTGGCATATGAAGGAAAAGGTGGATCATTTGGAAAGATGAGTTTGCCAATAACTGACATGGGGATGTCTTTATGGGAGGAGCAAAGGTTGTGGGTAGGGAGATCATGTTAAGTTTGGGATGCTTATTAGACATTCAAGAGCATATATCGAGCAGGGAGTTACAGAGGCAAGAGGCACGATCAGGGGAGAGGTCTGGGCTGGATATGAATTAGGGGAGGCTTCAGCTTAGAGTCTATTTAGTGTTTAAATTCATTGCATTACATGAGATCACTGTGGAAATGTATAAACAGAGAGGAAGCCCTAGGACAGAGCCCCAGTGCACTTCAGTGTTGCCACGGTGGGAGATAGGAAGAAACCAACAAGAAAACTAAAGGAAGCTGCTGCCAGACAAGGAGGAAGACAGCCATGAGAATGTGGTGATAGGAAATTAGATAAAGCTTTGCAAAGAGGAAGGAGACCAGCTGGATAAGATGTTGCATTTAGGTCAAGTAAGATAAAGATTAAGCACTGGACATTTGATTTAACCTTGTGGAAATCATTGGTGACGTTAACAAACAAGTTAGTGATAACTACAGCTTGATTGAAGGGTGTGTTCAAGACAGAAGAGGAGGCGAGAAATTGGAGATGAGCAATTACAGATCTCTTCAAAGAGGAGCAAAGCAAGGGGCAGTAGCAGTAGCTGTTTGGGCAAGTGGGGGTAAGTTTAGTTTTCTCCTTTTATGGGAACATAACAGCAAGTTTGTGTAGTTTGGGGAAAGATCCAGTAAAGAAGGAAGAACTGATGATTCAGGAGAGGAAAGAGATGCTATTCAGTGTCCTTGAATAGTTGAGAAGGAGATGTAAAAAGTAAAGTAGGGCCAGGCACGGTGGCTCATACCTGTAATCCCAGCACTTTGGGAGGCCGAGGCGGGCGGATCACAAGGTCAGGAGATCGAGACCATCCTGGCTAACATGGTGAAACCCCGTCTCTGCTAAAAATACAAAAATTAGC